ATCTGAAATTATTTGGAAAATAAATTCGCTTTATTTCTTTCATATTTGTATAATCGAAATTATTAAATAGTAAAATTATTAAAGGGAACAAAAGAATTTAAATTCTGCATGGTCTAAATGATTCGTGAACAAAAGGAGCAATACCACAGAAATCCTGTAAAAAAATATATAATATATATAATATACATATAATATATTAATATAATATCTATACATATATAATTAATATAATAATATTATATGTATATTTATATATGTTATATGTATAAAATCTATATAAGAGAGATATTGAATTTAGAACTCGAAATTTTTTCTCGCGATCGACGATGATACTCTGCCATTTGTATACATATACAATATACTAATAATTAATAAATAGGACACTACACGAACAATTTCTTAGCAAAAATTACGCAACAATTTTACAAGTTAACAATAACAAGAAAGAAGACGATTAGAACTGACATGAAGAAAAAATAGAAAAAAAAATAAAAAAACAGAACGAGGCAATATCCTATATACATATTTATATTGCACAATTTTAGCTCGACAGCAGGACTCGATAGAAAAGAAAAGACATTAAGTCCATTCTGTACTTTATTAGTGATTATACGTATCGATATCTTAAATTATCAAAAAATGTTGATGGTAATTATAGCAGCAAGTCTATGTAATTGTCCATATTTCGGGTAATCGAAAAATGTAGTGTTGCATCAATACTTGCTGCTATTCATATTCCATGCATTTTTTAATAATGAAAAGATACCAACGAATATATCATTAACAAAGTATAGAATATTCTTATATGGATCTTTTTATTGCATTTTTTACATACATACAATTTTCTTATTCGTTTTCTTACTTCTTTTCTCCAAAACCTGAATGCACATGCAATTTCCTTTAAAATGCAAAAAGTGCAGCTAAAAAAAGCTAATCTACTTTTTGTTACTACTATGAGATTGGAAATTTATGCGGAATCAAATTCGAAGAAAGATCCTCAAGAACAAATATCGATCAAAGCGACAGTCCACATAATGCCCGATCTCTTCATCCGGATGAAACTAATCGACATGGCAAGCGAATTCAATATCACAAGCGAGATACGTATTGCGTTCACCAATAGTATCTTGTTCATCTAATGTCGCAAGGTGTCGTGTAAAATGAATTTTCTTTCTTTCAGTGAAGCTTATCACGCGCACGCGATTGTCCAATTGAACACGAAGACAATTAGCGTACGATGATGTCCGGGGAATACAGGAACCGTTACACCTAATGTTCCTTAACGTCAAATAATATACAACGTTTACTGTATGAAGTATCCCATCGTTTAGTTAAGTCTTATAATATGGACAAGTATACCTAGGCGAGTAGGCCCAAGGTCTGTGTTGTAGTTCGTGTTGATTTCTGGAACGTGCGGTCCGCAGCCACGAGTTCGATTCAAGGAGTAGGAAAAAAAAATATTAATCACAAAAATGATCGCGAATCAAAAAGTTGGCTCATTCAATGAAAATAAACATAACGTTATACTGTTATTTTTACGAGTTTAGTTATCACCATATAACTGTATATTTGCATATCAATTTGATATTATTAAAAATAATTACTAATGTATATTGATGTTAATTCTGAAGAGAATTTAAATTTAGTGATAATCGTAAATTTATACTGTATATTTTGGTCAATAAGTCAACAGTTTTTAACTCATAATTATAGAAAAAAATATTTCAGATAAATTTCAGTAAATTTAAGACATCTTTTCGTTATGTATAACCATGCTTCAATTGCTATTTTGTTTTTTAGGTTTCAGCTTTAAAAAAGCTCTAAAAAACAATTGAAAATAAATTAATCGATTTGAGAAATCAAGAAGAATTCTAGGATTTTATTCCTTTGTGCAAAGTTTGGATGAAATTGCAAGAAAATCAATGAAATCAAGAAGAAAATGCAGCTAAACTGCATTTTAAAAAACGAAGTATCTTCCAGGTCATTCTCGTGGCCACGAACTTCAGGCGATTAGCGCGTGTTTACGATATCTTCTATGGAGAGGCAAGATGAAACAATCACGTCAGCAGAACGTGCGCGGAATAATACATTACATGCGTATACAAGGAGCAATATCTTCCAAGACACGAACAACATTTCGACTGGCGTCAACCGCCGATTTTCTTTACTCTTTCTGCAGTTTTTCCCTCACAAATAATTGAGCTAGGAGCGACCGGTATCCTAGTTTCGCGAGGTCGATTGTCACAATCGGTCCACGTGGATATACACATGCACACTTGCGTATAGATAACGCGTATACAGCTTATTCGATAAAACAAAAGAAAATAAAGCAAGGGATGATTTTTTATGTGATCGATGTACATACAGTTATTTGAACAGTAACTCCGAATAAAGTTCCGTGAAACTTCCTCGCGACATTGGGATACCAGCGCTAATGCAGCGTTTCGTTTTTTTTTTTTCATATATACACGTTCCGCTTATTTCCTTTTCGTCGTAATACTATGAAAATATCGCTTCAGCGAGGAATAATATGAGAGAGCCTTCCGCTCTTCGTACTTTAGTCGCGATTATCGGAGAAACAAACGTTGCGCGTGCTGCGGACGATTCGATTTTCTTTTCTATTTCTTATTTTGACATTGTATATTTACGGTAATCTAGTGAAAATGCGAAGGAGAAATGCCATATAATGTCACATATATTTAAAGTTAAAATAGAAAACTCATCAACCAATATAAAAGTAATATAAAATCTTATATAAAAAATTATCAAAACAATCTAAAAATTTACCTTATAATATCTTATTATACCAAAAGGTCGTTTTTTTTTGTAAAAATATTATATACATTACATTTGTAATATTTTCAACGTTAATTCTTATTACTTCATAAGGCAGACCACAATGATTCGTATGCTAAAATTTTTGTAAATAATAACAAAAGGAATTATCAAGTAAAACCGACTAGAATTCACCAAATAATTCAAAAATTACATTTATACAACGATTATATATAATAGCTAAAAAATAGAGAAAATAGAGTCTTTATATAAACATCTATATCTAACTCAATTAATAATTTCTTGTGTTTTCACATTTTTAAAATTGTAATTTCATTTTCATTAATAATAATGAAACTTTTTCGTCAAATCTATATATAGATTTTTTTGTTCTTACGAGCCTTAATTAAAAGTTTCAGTCGTCTTTATGAAAATCACTCTATGTTACAGCTGGTACATTAAAATAAGTAGAAAGTTGGCTTGAAAAAACGGCCTTCAAGAGTCACGAATGGAAGTTGGAGAATCGTCCGAAGAACGCGCGACGCAAGCAAGAGAGATCCTAGGACTGATGATTGATGCGTGTGGTCGCGCGGTAAAAGTCGCGTCGAAGGCATAAATGAACGAACCGGTACTACAATAGAGTAAATATAGTCTTTTACGTTGCGCGCTTGGACCGTTGCTTGCGGAGTGTTGAATGATGACGGCTACGACGGCGGCGGCGGCGGCGACGACGACGACGACGACGACACGACGACGACGACGACGACGACGACAATAACGACCAAGACTCGATGTTGAGAAAATCGTCGTGAAATATACGTACGTAAAAAATATCTCGCGTCCGGATGCGCACGGTGAGACACGGACGGCGTGATACACCGGAGCTCTTACGTGCAGTTACGTTTCCCTTCGCGCTGACTCCTCTTCTCGCGGTTATCACGTTATCCGGACGCTCAATCGGCGAAGCGCTCGCCACCTCTTTCGCCCCCTCATCCTCGCGAATCTCTCGCGAATCTCGTCCAACTCGTTGCTTCCGCGCCGATTCGGCAGATTCCAGGTGAAAGTCTTTGCACCTTTTCACCTTTCCACTCTTCCTGGCGGATCTAGAATTACGTGATCGATAATCCCGCGAGGGTTCGTAACGGGGCCCTCTCTGCCGATGGTGCGCGGGTGGTAAGCGCGAGAGAAGAGAGTTAGTAATTCATATTTACGATAGTATCACACTCTTTACGTACGTCGTAACATTTCGCACGTGGTGGCGAACGGCAATCGCGAGGAGAAAATCACGTCGATACGTCGCAGCGAGGTTTTGTGGCAGATATTTAGAAAATGTGTGATACGCGCGCGTGCGCGCGCGTGTATGTGTGTGTGTTTGGACGCGTATTGATAAAATTTGATCGTAGCTCGCGATGATACCATGCCGAGCTACGGGGATGACGAGAAACCTGTCGTCGATCATCAGTCAGTCGATCAATCCGGACTATTGATCCTTCAGTCAGTCGTTTCGTGGTGTCTGCTGCTGTTTTACATCTTCTTTTTTTTTCTCTCTTAGCTTCGAGAGCGGTAATAGTAGAAAGTGGCGGTAATAGTAGCAGTAGTAGTAGTAGTAGTAGTAGTAGTAATAGTAGTAGGTGGCCTACGGTGAGCGGTACGTAACGAGAGTCTTATTTTATCGATCGGATTATGCAATGTGAACACACAATGACGTAGTTGCGCGGTACGTGTTTGCGTACAGAAATATATTATTATAGTCTTTTAGTTTCGATAAAAAAGTTCAGTTCCCACCTCGATTGATTGCCCATCTCGAGGTGGCGCGCTTTCTTTCTCTCCCTCCCTTTCTCTCCCTCTCTCACTCTCACTCTCTCGCTCCTCTAACTTTTATATACGCGCATATATGTAATATGTATTATTTACACATATAACACATATTATATGTATGCTCTTTCTTTAATATTTTATTTAAAATCGTTCCTCCTTCTCTGTTTTCTAATCCTTCATTCGCTGTTCCTGACGTGGGTTACTTTCTATCGTCCATTTGTGTTCTTTTCGTTTCTTTTCGCTCGAACGATTCCTCCTTTCCGCCCTCCTTCGTTTGTACAACGCAACGAACACACACAATTATATTATTTATATTATTTATATGTATATATATATACTTTTATATATTTATTATACATACGCAAACAAAGCCTTTCCCCATTCGGCTCGAGTCGTCTCTCTTTCTCTCTCATTGGACTCTTTTTCTCTCTGTTTTTTATCTATTCGTTTGTTAGCTTGCCTGTTTGTTCGGTTCTTTTACTTTTTTTCTGTGTATATATTTATAACGTATGTATAGTATGTATATAGGTATTCAGCTTCGTTTATCGTCACTTTGTTTATTTACTATCTTTGAATTGCTGAGTTCAATAGGAAAGGAACGTAGAACATTTTACTCTCAAGTAGTAAAGTCGCCGCCGATTGTACCTGTAATTCAAGCAGACGGATTCTCTACTTAAAAACGAAGTCGTTTAATGAAAATTGTATTCTGCGCGAAACGAAAACAATTCGAATTAAAATTACTATCGCTAGATTTAAATGAATGCCTCTTAAGCCGGATCTAAATCAAGCGAATAAATACAAATTTTTATTCACTGTTCGCGCTTCTTCACGTACAATTTGCTTGGTATTTAGATTCAATCAAATGTTCAATAATTTGAATTACATATTAATGATAAATATGTTAATTTATTCGTTTCTTTCAAAAATTTTTCTCACATTCGGTATATTTATTTATTTATTTATTTTTAACTTACTTCGGGCAGTCTGACAAGAAGATCATGAAATCGACTCGGCTGCTGAGGAGCGCTGTGCTCGACAAAACTTCGCAGACAGCTCATGTACCGTTCTTGTATCTGTTCTAATTCCAGTGTACTTCCTCGTGCTAAGAAAGACAAAGCGAGATCAGTTGAGATGTATTTGTACATGATATTAATTTAAAAAAAAATTCAAGGCGTCAAATCGTTATAATTACAATTGATGAAATGTTCTATATATTCTTGGTTTATATATTTTTTTCATAGATAGATTTTATCTACATATATCGGACGAGAATTTATTTAAGAAATCAAGTTTAATTGAAATCTTTTTAAATAAAAAGCGTACATCAGGGTCTACTCGTGGGAAAACGCATGCGTGCACGGACATTTTTAGAAAGTATATCTTGAACTTACATTTTGTATCTTCAATTGTAGCGTTGGGAAGAAGATAAGTTTATATTATTATCTATCGCTCGTATATCATACCGAGGAAGTTAACTCGACGCGATAATGACGGACGCGGAATGGCGGAGTCGGTAAAAGTACCTACCTTGTGAGAGCATAGTGATTACTTTTAGACAGACATACTCCTCCATCCGTAGCCTCACCCGCCTGAACATTAGCGTGACATATGTGATTTTTTCCACCATGAGCCCTACGTCTTGCCGCAATTGGTCCATGGTTATCGGCCGACCCATCATGCTGGTTAGGCACCTTTGCAACGTATACATGTTGTTCGTTACCTGTTTATGAAAATTATATTAAAACAGGTCCATTATTCGTCATATTTATAAATTCTTCAAATAAAAACATACGTTGTGTCATAAATATATACGTAAAGTGTTAACATTAATAAAAATTAATCCATGTTATTAGTGGCAACATTAACATTATATCATGTAGATGAATTGACGATACTAAAAAATACTTTATCGTCGAAATTATCGTGTACGGATTGCCTCTAATCAAACTTTCGTGTAAACAAAATTAATAAAGCAAAAGATTCTATTATAGAATCCTGATTTTTTTTTTAAATTTCTTTCAGGAATTGATTGTAAAAGATGATAAAATTATTGTTATAACTTTTGCAAGATATGTGCCGAGTAGTATCGTAAAGGAAACTTGTTTGCCCTCACGATATTATATTTATGTAATGTATACGTTTATAAATTATAGTAAAACGTTTATAAATTATAAATTATAGTAAAACGTAATTACTTCTTGCACAAAGTCTGCACCCGTCCCGTCAGTAGTGACATTTGTTAACCTGTGCTGACCGTGCATCGCTTGGTAAGCAGACGTAGTCAGCACAAGAAGTTCATGCCACTTGTGGGTGAGCAGCCTTGTGTGAACTTCGACCGGCAGCTCAAGGTAAAACGGTAACCTTTTGGTCCACTGCACCAACTTGTACACTATACTGTCTCCTATCTGACACAGCTTGTCACTTAAGTCTGAATTATGGTCCAGCAGCTCGTCCAAGTTCTGCAACGCGAACGGTGCAAATTTTGGAGCGCGATTGTTCATTTGAGGATTAACTATTGTATACTTTTATTTTTCTAATTAGATAATGTCTTATTCAAACGGATCAGTTTGGAGAAATAATTATTCACTGATAATATTGTTATTGTTTATAAAAATAAACGTTGATTAAGCTAGCTAAATAATTTTCATTAATTAAACTTATATGTTGCACATAGAATAATATATATTCTTTTGTGAAAAAAATTATATTAATATATGACTGTTGCCTTGAATTTTTAAAACAATTGTGCACGTTTTACTGTAAAAGTATGACATTCACGTACCCTCAACGTGGCGATATCTTGGAACTCGTCGCAGTCTATAAGGGTTTGAATCATGGTTAAGGTTGCGTCCAGAGGAAATACTCGATCCCTCGAACTGCTTACTGCATTGTCTAGCCTTTGTCGTAAATGCACCACCTTAAACACAGGTCGTTAACATGTAAAATCTATTCACGTTTCTATCGAGTTTTTCTTTATCAAGGTAATGCACTTCTTGTATTTTTTAAAAATTTTAGAATGCTAATTGAAACCAGTTCTCTCAGATGTTGCATACATTAATATCGTTCATTCCCCTGGATTAATTTTTATCAGCTATATTATCTCTTGCCCGGGCTTTCAATCTCGTTTACGCGACCTTGAAACTTTTTTCACGACGCGAAAAAGTTATTTTGAGTAGATCCGCGCGTTAATTACGATCTCGCCGGCATTTCCTCTCCGTCGTCGTCGTCGCGAGTTCGCAATCCGAGTTCGGCGGCCGCGCGTCCAACCGGTAGGATTCAGCCTTTCACTGACCTTTCGGACCTCGAAACATTTCCTCGGGGTCGGGCACGGAGTGCACGCGAGCGAGATAGAAAGAGAAAGAGGAAAAGAAAAAGAAAGCGCGGAGGAAGCCCACCAAGTCGGTTTCCATTCTGACTTCGGGGAAAGCTGGTCGCTTTGTCGGATAAGATCCATGCATAAGCGAGACTATCTCGTGGAGAACCGTGGGACGCGTTTGCAGCTGAAGGCGCACGACATGAGGAAGGGACGGTAGTTTCGCGGGGGAGACAAGGGAGGAGATATACACAGGAGGTGTCGGAGGAGAGGAAGCGCGAGAGGGAGAGGGAGGGTGAGGTCACTGTCCCCCGTGCAGACTTTCACGAGTTACGAAACCGTCGGAGAACTGCCCGTCCTTGGCACCGGCTGCCGCTGATTTTCTATTGTCCCTGCCTGCGTCGTCGGTGTTGTCGTTCACCACGACGTTTTCACGCAGCGACGATGACGAATGACGACTTCGTTATGTGTATGTGTGCGCTGATAAAAGGGTATCCGATGTTATTTTAACATCTAGTAGATATCAGTAAAAATCATTGATGTAGCTCAACTGTGTGCGGCTGATTCAGAAAATTTGATTTTGATCTCAGAAACATATTATGCATAAATGACAAATTTTATTTCTGTTTGATAATTTTTTTTTTTATAGTAATCATTAGCGAAGTTGAAGTAAAATGACACGCGTGTGAGAGATGTAGACGAATAACTCTGAGACTATGGATCATGTTCAAAGGTTTTTATACCTTATAATTTCAATCTTTGGTAAAATTATCTTATAACAACGCTTAATCTTTTTTTAGATTAAGATAAGAATTATATGTACGATATTTATTAAAATTCAATAAGTATAATAAATAATTCTTTCTAAAAGCTTTCTAAATATTTATATAGAATATTCATAAATATGAATTTAAGTAAAAATAATGTCATAAAGAATTTATGTGCAGAATGTCTTCCGATGATAAAGATAAGCGTTAAATTTTCAATTCAATTGGAATTAAGTAAATAATCAAAATATTTATTTTCATGTTACTTTCGTGACTATAAAAACTGAATATTCCTCGTTTCAAAGAAAGCGATTTCTGTCGAATTTGTGACTTTTTCCTATCTTACACGAAATTCATTTCGAAGATGTGGTTTTGCTGTGCATCTCACGTACGATGACTCGGCCGCGGCTCGAAAGTGACCTCTTTAATGGAGCACAGCTCCGCGGTCAATATTTATGCGGTTTTAGAGGCATCGGTTTCACTTTTGACAATGGCCTCTACCGGGCCATTTCAACGATCGCGGCAGTTCCCCCTCGTTTGCTCATCTGATCCGACGTAACGCTCATATTTTTCCACTCCTCCCGCTGATCGTTCCACTTGAGAAAGTTATAGAATGCAATTCGTTCGCATTTTGAGTATATCGAAAATATATAAAAAATTTATTTTATTGAAAGTAGATTTAGTTTTGAATTTATATCCGCGTATCTTTTTTTATAGTTTACCTGTATATATACAAATAAATGGCTTCCAAATGATTTCAGCAAATAATTTTCCATTATATAACATATTTAATCGATTACTCATCATGAAAAATTTGCTTACGTTGTGTGCACAAAATTACATAGCGTCGGGAAACATTGCTTCGCAAAGACGTATGACTTCGCACGTTATGTAAGTATCTCTTATTATACAAGGAGTGTAGATGAACACAAAAAGTGCGACGACGATCATAGTCAATTCTCGCGAACGCATGCTACTCGTTCGTTCTGTCTATCGGCTTTCGTAATGTGGGAAACCTTGAGGCTTGCGCAAGCCAAGTCGTAAGAAAGTGAAATTGCGACGGGGAGTTCATTCATTCCAGGATCGGTGCGAAGGAAACCGATCGACGCACGCCGAATTTGCTATTTGCTTCGTGTATTTCCATCGTCACTCGACGATTCGTATCAAAATACTTTGAATTTTTTAATACAAGGTAAAAGCAATGACTATAAAATAAATGATTATTAAATTTATACCTTTTTCAGATTATAATTGCAGTTAAATTTTGAAAAGATATGAATCTATGTATATATGACACTACATTATAGTTTTTAATTATCATTCGTCCTTTAATATCAGACTGCACGCTTTTTAAGTTTATAGTAAAGGTTTGACGTTATCGAAATTATCGTCCTCTCAGTAACGATAAATCGATTTCTTTTTTTCCTCTTTAGAAGTTACCGTTTCCATTTATAAATATCTCTGTGACGTTAATTGCTTTCTGGTTCATGAAAGGGTAGCGTAAAACCAGTAGCTTGCTTAATTAACAAGTATCGGATACAATCTGTCATTTCTTTGTTTCTGTACGTCAGGAACAACAAAGTGCGTTATGCTCCGCGATGATTGATCCAAGATTCCTTTTGCGAGCATAACAGGTTCGTCATAGATATCGATGATGCAATTCTGACTTCATCAAAGTGGTCTGATCTCTATTTTCCCAGGTAAGGATATTGAATGCGAATCGCAAGTGTCGAACGCGTACACACTCAACGCACTTGCTTCATATACATTTAAATTTATTGCTAATAGAATAAATCTAAACAATTATTTAAATCAACACTGCAAATAAACAAAGAAATTTACTCTTGGTTTACAGCAATTTATTAAAATATTAGTTTTAACATGGCCAACTATATATTTGATGCTGAATGTTAAGAAAATATGAGAGAGAATAGTGGTGCTCAAAAATAAACTATTTTTTCTAACTAATAAAAAATAAATCGATCGAAAAATATAAATGAGAAGCTGTGCAGGAGATTGAATCACCGGAACGAATAATCATCATTCGCGAAGATTTGGCGATCTTGCGTCGTCGCAACCGCAGCTGCTTCGAAAGTGAAAGCGAAGATGCCTGCGGGACATTCTCATCCCAGAGCACCGGATTCCCCTGCCGAGGAGTCAACTTTTGTTGACCCACGCTCGATTTCTAACCAGGGCTATACGTCGTGTAAACCACGTGAATCGCAAACAAGGCGCTGATCCTTCGATCGAAGACGCACGCGGACGTTGATCTTGTATCGTCGATCTCATCTTCGATCGTGCGAGCAAGAATAACGTAAAAATCCCCGCTTGTGTTTCTCGTATTAATGGCGAACTTTCATGTCGTATAATCATGCAATTCGATCGGACCGACTTTTAGAAAGTTTCCGCGGATATCTCACACGCACATCACCGTCGGGTAATATACATAAATCTCGCGGCGGCTGAGATTAATCTACATTACGTCGCTGACGACGTTTGCCTTGCGTAACGCTCGAATAATTAAGGGTGAAATGAGTAAAAGCTATATAACGGGCGCGCGCGATGCACTCTGTCGTAACGAAACTAGTTCTCCGACGATTCCGTTTCGCGGCGAGACACGCGGAAGTAGATGAATCGCGCGATCCCGCTTTAACGAAATTTCTCACGTTTGAAGGTGGATTTGCATGATTCAGCCCCGGCGATCGTCCGCGATAAATAAAACGTTTGAATGCATTGGACGAACGAATTTTTGGCCTGAAATATTATAGAGTATAACGTTCCAAATCTGCGAGGAACTACGGACATTCGTGACTTTAATTGCGGTAGATTTCTATCAATAGGTTCCGCTCGATATCAAGTCAATTGGATTCTTAATTGGAATCTCCAGGCAATAATTCTGTATATACAAGCGATTAGAAATGAGCGATCTTTCAGAGAAGATTACTGTAGCATAAAAACGCGCGATTAAATAAGGAAATTTCATTGTACATTTAAAGTTAAATGAATCTCATTCCTTTGAATTTTATATTGTCAGGATATATATACTTGACGTTAAGTACCTATTAAAAAGATTTCTTAAAATTTTCACGAAGAAAGACCGAGTGCACACTTGGCATGTTCGTATAACTTAATTCTTCTCTTGTCTCGAACAATTCTGGATGTCGGAAATGATCGCGTATTAAAAAAATGCAAGATCACTTCAAAGGACTTTAAAATTCATTATATTTTAAGAACGACGAAGAAGATATATATACACTCACTTCGGAAGGATTGGTAAGCGCCGTCTTGAGGATAGTCCCGTTGACGAGGTGGCCCGAATGCGCGGGGTGGCTCGGGTGGCTAGGGGTGGGCGGCGAGCTGAGTGGATCGCCTGATGAGATTTTGTGATGATGAAGGAAACTACCGGCCAGTTGAGCGTGCTGCTGCTGCTGCTGGCTGTGATGGGCGGCCGCGGCCGCGGCCATGTGCTTGTCCAGCATCGTCGTGCCCATGGCACCCTTGGTACCCGAGCCGTTTACACCACCGACGTTACCGCCGCCACCCATACCGCCGCCGACGCCGCCCGTCTTGTTGCTCTTCTTGTGTTTCTTGTACTTCACCTGCGGCCGATCAACAAAGGCGATCTCTTTCAACGATCAGTTGCAGCCGATTCGTCGATTAATTTTTTAGGTGTTCTTCAGTCCGACTTACGCGAATATTATTGGAGCGAGTATTATATCGCTTGCCTAGCATTTATTGCGATAACGTAAATTACAGCATAAATTTATTATGAAAAAAATGTATACACTGTTAAATCTATAGTGTCAAATTTAACCCTATTTAAGTCGCCACTGCGCCTACTTAATATATGATTATTTTTAGCTAAAACGATATAGTTTTATTTTTAAACAAAACAATGGAATTTAACCCAAATTTGGGTTAAATTGGAACCGTTTCAATTATTTAACTTCGTTGTTTTAATTAAAAATAACTATTTGTTAAGTAGGAGCAGTGGCGATTTAAATAAGGTTAAATTTGACACTTATTTAAGATTTAACAGTGTATTCTTGCCCAAAATAGGCATTTGTCAATATATTTAAAAGGAATAATAATTTATTTATACACAAAAGTGTTATTCGTCCGATAAAGAACGCGTCTCGTGAAAAAATGTAACGACGTAACGAAAAAATATATACTTGGCCGGAGACGCTGTCGCGTCTCCTGATAATAATTTTATTTTTGAAACCTTAGTTCGATGCGTACCTTGTAAAGGTTGTACACTGCACCGGAATTCCTTCCTCCAGGCATCCGGTCTTCCCGAACCGCCTGCAGGACCATACCCTGTTCGATGCATTTCTTAAACCGACAGTACTGACACCTGTTCCTCTGCGCCTTCGTAATTTCGCAGCCTCCCTCAGCCACGCACGTGTACACCCGTCTATTTTGCACGGTCCTCTTGAAGAAGCCTTTACACCTACAAAATCAATCGAATTCTTGTAACTTGCGATCGACTGGAAAGAAGATAGGAAATGTTTTTATAAAATTTTCATAGAAAATGTTGCATTAAGGCAGTTTATATTAACAAAAATTATTTTCTGATCTGGAGATCCACCAAAATTGTTCTTTCCATGTACAAAAAATTCAGAATTTGCTCTCCCATTTTTACTAACAATAAATATACTGTCAAATACGTGAGAAAGTTAAAGTACATATAAGAGGTGTATAAATTTGAAATTATATGTATATAAATTCTACAAATTTGGATCATGTCCCCCTCTAGAAAAAATTCTGCGAACACCCCTGGACCTACCGCGCGAAGTTAGCCGCCAGAATTTGACCGCGGCAGTGCGAGTGCATGACCGGCGATCAGTTCGCGTTGGACGCCACCGCCGTTGCGCGTGCGATAGCCGATTCCGCGACCACTTTGTGGGTTTCTCGCCTGCCCGGAGCGAATTACGCCGTACGAGTGAGCTCCGGGATCGTACCGATTCTAGCGAACGATCGTTTCGGCGTGCATCAATTCGACTCCATTACTCCGCGGCGAACATTACTCCGATAATCGCAACGACGTTCGTCCCTTCCCGGCCCAGCGGGTGTCCATCGATCTTGCGCTCGGAAGGATCTTAGGTTCTGATACGTGTGCGACTCGCGTATGCTCGTGCATATCTCGCCGGCGTTGTCCGACGAGCGTCCGACGAGTGTCATTCGGCATCCGAATCGTCGAGAATGGCATCGAGAGCGGCGTCAAAGAGCGATCGCCGTGACGAATCAATCGAGACAGATATCGCGTACGTGCGTAACGTAACGCTAGGACGCTAGCGCCTCCGCCATGATTGACGGCGCGGCGTCGCGTCCTTGGTATGTTTATGTGCACACATACATAACTGCACGCAGATCACGGGCAAATCGAATTTGGAGTATGCATCCATCAGCGATTGTTTTGCGTCGCGACTTCGCAATTCTCAGATTTCGGTACAATACGATAACGTGTCGCGCCGGGTCGTCGGTATTCGAAGAACGTGAATGTGCCGTGTTTCGAGTTCTCGGGAGTGCATTCGGGAGTGCCGAATGATCCGATCGTCGTGTGTTGATTGACTTAATTGCGGTTAGGTTACTTTACGCGTCTCGTAATATTCGAAATCGATATTAATCGCTGTTGATACTAATAATGCCGATTAAACAACGATGTGTGTCGCATTATTCCGTGTATTCGTCAATTGTGATCCGAGCCGTGCGAATGTTATTCAAAAACATAAAAAGTGTAAATTGACAATCGTATAAGAATGGTATCGAAGAGCATCGAATGTCGAGGAGTGAAGGCTGGCTGCACCATTTAATCTCGGGAAAGGATAACTGCTGCTTGCTGCAACGCTCGATTCGTTCAGTGAGTTCAAATTTCTTCTTAATTACTTTTTAATTTGTTACGTGGAATTTCGACACGATAGAGATAATCCACAAAAACAGCTAATCCATAAGTTAAATTTATAAAAATTATTTAAATTTTACACGAAATGCATTTACAAATTTAGACGTGACAAATAAAGTTTGGGATTATTTATTGGGATTATATACGAATGTAAGAAAAACAATAAGAATTTATCATTTTTATAACTTTCACAAAATATGAGTCTTTAATTTAAAATGTTTGACGAAGGTGTGATAAAATAAACAGATATGATCAAATTATATTTTTAATTTGTGAAGATCAGATTTCTTATCTATTATCTTAATTTATCTTATTTATCTGTCCGATAAATTTTTTATTGTTTTTCTTATCTCGTTTGTGTATCGTATTAATATGTATATCGATAATAATTTGTTTTCAAATCTTAGATTTTTTAACGATAAAATATGATATTGTGTTTAATATGTAATTAGACACATAATTTATACTTTATAAAAATATTTTGACGTTTAGACGGATTTACATATGAACCTAATTTGTTAACAATCGATATAAATCGATTAGTTATAAAAAAGCACATAAATTGGATAAATATTCAATGATTTAACCAAAAGTTATAATTGAAGATAAATAGAAATAAATAGAAATAAATAGAAATAAATAGAAATAAATAAATTATATATTAGCAGAAATATGTAGGTGTAATCGAAATGATAATCTACAAAATTTTATATTATTTAATAAGTTCCAAAAAATAAGAAATACATGATTAGAAAGTCTGATTAATATTTTTAAAAATATGAAAAATTAATCATCTATATGTTCTTTTTTAAAATATAAAATCTATTTCTGTCGTCTCTTGTTGCTGAGAGCTATTTTTACGAGTCGAATTGTTTATCATAAGAAGCGTCTCTCTAGACAGCGCGAAAATAGTGAGGTTGAATCAAGGATTCATCTGCACAGAATTACGAGTGCCGTGGGTACGAGGGAAAAACTTGTCGCAGACTTTTCTCGTCTAATCCACTTGCTTGTTCGAGACAACAAAGTTGGACAAGGACGAGCGGAGAAGTAACGATACTCCGTGGTAATTTTACGGACTAATCAAAAGTGTTGTTCAAGAAGTCATCCGAGTACACGCAACAATGTAGACGCAACAAGTATTCCCTCGCCTCGCGTAGATATTGCTCCGTTCTGAGAACGGGACGAAAAAATTATGAGATTACCAGTTAATTTTTAATCTCGTCTAAGTTACAAATTATGGACGTGTTCGCAGAAAAATTAATATACCTTGATATTCACTTGACAGACTATTTTATTTGGACAGTTGATTTTAAACGTTGATTGCGATTGATAAAGTAAAAAAAGTTCGTACATTGCAAATAAAGGATGGAGCGTATATAACTCGAAATATGCAAATATATTGTTGATATTCTAAAATTTAAAATTAAAACGCAAAACAAGAAAGAAAGTATTGCATATGACATTTAGAATAAATATGGAGTACATTATTTAATTTATATAAAAAAATTAATAAATTTCTTTTCTATTATCAACGAAACACAAATGAAGCACTTCACAAGTATTCTTTTTAATTTTGTTCTTCTTCTAAATTAGATCTTTTAATTCTTTAGAATTTTTTTAAATTTTATATTTGGCAAATTAAATTCGAATTCAATAATCCGTATAATATTTTGTTCTATTTTCGCGGTTAATTTAATTTAATTTTAAAGTATCAACAATTACAAAATTTTGCAGAAAAATAGGATAATAAAATTATAAAATATTCATATTACAAAATATTGTTTGGTACTCTTGTGCTTAAGAATTTTGTCGATAAAGAAAGGTGCTTTTTGATTCGCGTTCTCTTCGAGTGATTTAAGTGGGTTAAATGAAACTTCAAGAAGATAAATAGTAACGATAGATTAGAGAAACAAATCTTCGTCTCCCACGTGCGAACTTTCTCGTGTAAACAGATTGATAGTGCCGCTTCTCTGGGCCCAGTTTACTCAAAACTCGACATTTCTTGTCGAGCGAAATGCAGTTAAGCGCGCTTCCTCGAACGTTGGCAAAGGTCGAAGGTTGTGGCAGGTTACACACGTTTGCGATCCAACTAACCACGTTTCCGACTATATATTGCGCAGGTAGCTTCGGTACTCGTATAATTAGGTCTAATTAAGCGAATATCGGTCGATTCTTGGATTGCAACGCATCACTCGAAAGACTACATACGTATAAGTTCCTATCCTAGTTAACCGATCTCATTAGTGCGACTCAGTCGCATTCTACGCGCGAATGCATCATTACTGCCACGGGGGTGGAATTATCGCGAACAAAGCGTACCGGTATTTGTAGCAAATGGAGTACTACTACTGATTTGTTTTCCTTAAATTCGTATGGATTGTTAATAATTTGCGAATTTAATCTAAAGATGTCTTCTGCACGCGCGCAGTTTATGCAAATAATTGTGAAATATTTTGCATAAATTTCTGATGATTGATAAGAAACTAATTTAAAAAAAAATATTATAGCTTAGAAAATTAACATATCCAAAAAATGTATCAGATATCATTAACGTAATTACTACATTCTATCATATTTTCAAGAGAATATATGAGAGTATGAGATTTTTTAATATTTATATATAACTTTCAATATTCAATCAATTCTTAATTAATCGCGTGGAATAATTATGAAGCTAAAATATTCTGAACACATTACGAAATATATGCTCAATAAAACAAAGTTGACAAAATAAAAGACGTTAAAGGAACGATACGTCAAGATGCACACGGTGAGATTTGAGCAAAGTGGTTCGTGTATACAGAAATAATAATAATATGCTGTGGTCCGTACCGCGGTGAAACGGTTAATCTCGTTAAGCGTAGCTAAAGGCACTCACCCTTCGCACGTGATGATACCGTAGTGCAAGCCGGTCGCCTTGTCCTCACAAATCATGCATATCATAGGCGTTTCGTCTTCCTCGTGCTCCTGGGGCGGCAAGGGTGGCGCAGGCGGTGCCACCGACATGGATTGCGACGCCGCCTCGGATTTGATAACGGTGCCGCCGTTGCTGACCCACGGTTGCGCGGCGGAACCGGACGCCGTGAGATTCAGCGCCTGCATCTGTTGCGCGGCCGGCAGCTGCGTCAGATCGCCGGCCCACAGCCTCTCCATGTTGAGCGGCGGCCCGGCGGCGGACGAGTACGAGACCGCGGAGGAGGACGAGGGTGGTTTACCCCTGGACTCCTGACCGAGGTTCAGCAACAGCTGGGCGGCCGACTCCTCCGACGAGGAGCACGAGGCGGCCGCCGCAGCCGTGGCCGACCAGGATGCCGCCGGTGGCGGTACCGGGTCCAACGGCGGTGCCGACCATATCATCGTACGGACGCCGCCGATCTCGCCCATTAGCACCGTAGGCGGGGGCCGCGGTGGTGCTGGCGCTGCTCTTTGCGTCGGTGGTTTCATACCTTCGCCTGGAATGAATCATCGACGATCGATTGCCATAGTGTGTTTCTCTATATAATCTTTTTATACAATTAACTTCCGTATATATCTTTAAACTTTCATCCTCCCCTCCCTCACTATTTTCGCTCTTGCACATACTCTAATATATTTGTCGCGTGACCACGTAGTTGTAGAGTGAGAAAGAGAATAAAAATAGATTCTGATTATTGGGTTTAAATAACGAATCGAGGAAAAAAAATTTATGTTAGAACCTCAAGAAGTACTTTTATATGTTTACTTTCTATGAATCAGTGGAATTACCACTGATTTGCAGCGTGTATCATTTTCCAGTGAGGTACTTAGAAGTGATAATCAGTGAGTATTTCAATGTTTTTTCAGTGACAATCCACTGATTCAAATATAGTGAATATCACTGAAGGATAGTGAATTTTAGTTTTCATAACTGTTTGACTGTGAAACTCAGTAGATTATCATAAAAAAAATATTAAAATACTTATTGTTTATCACATAAATATGCCACTAGAAAATGATATACATTTAAAATCAGTGATAATTCCTCTGATCCACTAACTTTTAGAGAGTAGTAATTCTATATGAATAATGCCTCATCATGACATAATAATCGATTAAAAATGATTAATGATAAGAAATGATGTGAAAGGATAAATTGTTGAATAATTGTAACGTAAAAAGTGTTCGATACAGTAAAAAATACAACAGTCACAATACTTACCCGACGTTGCCGTGGTGGTAGCGCCAGTAGTGACACAGCTGACACTGGAATTGGTACAGCTGGAGCTGCTGGTGCCACCTCCAGAGCTGGTGGAGACAGTCGTGGCGTTCTGCCCGCCGTAACTGACGGCGCTGCTGATAACACCGTTGAGTAGCCTCTGCGTAGTGAATCCCTGTACGCTAGTAGTATTCTGCGACCAAAATTGATGATGAGCCGCCAGCAGGTGCGGTGGTACCGAGGGCGCGCGCGACCTCGGCGGCGCCGGTGGTGATTGTTGTTGCTGCTGCTGCTGCTGCTGCTGCTGCTGCTGCTGCTGCTGCTGCTGCAGAGATCCGTGCGATCCGGCCGAACCAATTGTGCCGGAACTGACGTTCAGGTTGAATTGAGATGACGGGCTATTCCGGTGACTAAGCTGGTTGGAGGCTTCCGAACGACCGCCTCCACCGCCACCACCGCCGCCTCCACCTCCGTCAAAGACCGAATTGTCGGATTCTTCCTTGGTCTGGACGGACGATAGGTCGCCCTTCAGATCCGGGCTGTCACTCCTCGAGGAGGCCTCCTGGGCAATCGGAGTCGACGAGACCTGAACCGGCGAGTACGGCGACGATTTGATCGGCATCGGGGTGGCGGAGCGTTGTTGTTGCTGTTGCTGCTGCTGCTGCTGCTGCTGCTGCTGCGACTGCTGATGATGCTGCTGATGCTGCTGTTGCTGCTCATCGGCGACCCTGAAGCTCATCATCGGACCAGCATCCGGGAAGACCGAGTCGGGCGACGCGCGATCCGAGCACCCCGCGTCGCGACCCTCTTGGCCGCTTCCTTTCCCACCTCCGCCATCACCGCTGCCAGTACCACGAAGGGTGTCTCCTCCTCGCAGTGGCCCTGGACTCGGGCTGCCCAGCAGGTACTCGTTCGACGCTCTGACCTGGCAGCCCGGCGAGCCCGGCATGTTCGTCTCCGGCGACAGGGTTGAGGTGTCGGCCATGCTCTCCCCTGGAGCAGGAAAGTTTATGGGTGAAGGTGCGTCCGTCGTCGGGTTCCCCTGCGGCGAGCCTGCTGATCCGAGGGATACCGGGGAGTCTGAGAAATAAGGCGTTGATCTTACGTTTATACTCGGACTGCGGAGAGTCTGTAACGCGGCGGGATAGTTTTTTTTCCTTTTTCTTTTACCCTCGGAGGCATGATCGAGTATGGTAACGCGGGGGGTGTGCGAGCGTTCGCTATTCACGCGCGCGTTACATCTGATGAAATTGAATGCGCACGGAGGAACGGAAGTGGGACAAGGGGAATCGGCATCGGGGAATTGGAGTAAATTAATGACGTTGTACACCCGATCGACACCAGTCGCATACGCGACTAATTGGTGGCGCGAGCTCCGAGGGTGAAGGTGAGATAATGAGCTATAGATGGAGCATAACGTGTTGCATCTGCTTATGATGTGACGTCTTCCTTGGTATTCGGTATTCCGGACTGGCATGTTGATTACTCCTTTGACGTTCCGAGTTGACGAATAAATTTAATGTACGATGTAGTTATTAATCCAAGAATTCAATATAAATAATATGTAAACTTGGGAGATTACAAGTGATACAATAACATAAAAATTTAATTGCATTTGCAAAAATTTGATTATTCAATAGATTATTTAATTTGCTTGTATTCTCTTATACGTGAAAATTAGATGATACTTATACCATATTTATCCTTTAAATGTTTACAAATTTAAATTATAATTTTTAAAGTATGTTTTCCCATTTGTATTTGGTTCTCAAATTCCAGGATTAACTCTTTCAATTCAGTATTATGTTAATCTAATAATCCTCTTAATTTAAAGAGATAAAAGAAAAGCAACAGACGTAAACAGAAAAAGAGCTAATTTTACATATTATTTCATAGTGCAGTTTATTCACATGACAATATATGCTATCATCTGTAATCCTCAGATGAAAAATTAAATAGCAAAAAACTAAATAATTAGAATCGTTACTTCATTTATAAAATAATTTAATAGAAAATCGTTACGGAACCGCCGTTAAAATTGCAAATGGCATCGATGACGGATTTAAAACTTATTACATGCGTTATTACGCTGGTCTCGATAAGCAACCGCTCGTTATGCAATTCCATATCAATAATACGGCATTGTGTACGCGCGAAGTGTTTCTCCTCTCCTGCTCATAAAAAAAAAACGCCTCCCATAATAGATTCCGATATACACGAGATGTACTCTCCTCGCGTTAGCCGCGCCCATGATCACCCTCTCTTCATATAGAATACTTTTAAGTTATATATCCGCGCGATAAACGTTGTTCAGTTATCGGTACATTTTGTACGCACTTGTAATAGAATATTTGTCAGGAGCACTGCACGATCTGTCGCGATTGGCAAACAATCGCTCTTTCAAATATTTGGATAATATTTGGATCTAGCTGGATCAAAATCAAATATTGGAATACTATTTTAAGTACTAAAGACAGAATGCAAAGAGAAATATCTACTACCAGAGAAGATATTAACATATTTTAAATATTTCTTCATATATTTTTTGATAAAATAGACTACTATAAAATAGTCTGTGTATTTTTAAATTAATTATTTGCAGATCTTAAAATATCTCCAATATGATCTTTTTTGTTAATACAAGTACATTACATATAAAAATACATATATTGTCTGAAAGTAGATAAAAGTCTTAACAGACAATGCTCTTGACTCACAGAGATTTCTCGTCTTCATGAGTTCTCTCGAACTCTGCTAAGTTTAGTGAGTTTTGCAAAGACATATCGCATTTCATAGCCTCTCTCGAGCAATTGTGCTGCGACTTCGATAAATTTAAATCTACATTCATTATTGATCCACGCGCGTTTATCTACGGCTTAATTATCTTGCTCGTAGTCTTTTCACGCGAGCAAAGTTCAAAATATCAGCCGTAGATTGGATAACGAATGATTAAATAGCGAATAAACTATGAATTTCCATGATACATGGAATCATATAAATTGGATGTATAATATAATATAATTTTTTATACGTACATAATAATAAAATGTGTAAAAAAATGAAATACGCAGAAAAATACAAAGCTAACTTTAGATTTTATAGCATGAAAAATATTGCTAATTGAGCTAATTCACATAACATAAAATAGGCAAAATAATGAAACGTAAAAATTTGATCGAAATTATTATATAATTTCTTTTCATTTCATTAAATTTTCTTGCTTCTTATAAAGGCTTTTCTTGCTACTAAACTATTAAATAATCATATACAATAAATATATAATTAAATATTAATATAAAATTAATGATTTCTGATAGAACTAAGATAATAATAATTAATAAAATTGGGATATCGTTAATAATATTCAAATTAGAAGAAATTTTTGTAATTAATCACGAAATCATGGGTCGAAAGTTTACACGTACCTACTAAGTGAAGATAATTTCGAAAGATTTGATTTTCATATATGTTGCCCCCTGATGACTCTGGTTAGAAAAAGTAACCATTTTCTTTTACTGGAAAATGCATGTGGCGCGTGTTGTGTTTCCTATAATGGGGAAGTTAGTGGTAATTGAGTTAGAAGAGAGGGTTCTGAGTGAGAGAACCATTAAAGCACCCGTTTGCTTTCGATGCGTTCTTAATGCTGCATTGTACCCCGCGGTGTTGAAGGATATACGAAGATGGCACGTGCAACGGTAACAATGGTAATGGGATAGCCTTGCATCACGCACAGTATGAAATTAATTAAATAAAAATATTCTACATGACTTCAAGCAGATAAAGTCTAAATATATATGTTTACATGTGCTATCTCTGTATATTCTGTATATATATGTATATGTGTGTGCATAAAAAAAATTATATACATAATAATCTTTGATGAAAATTTATTTAGAACTATCGATTTATTTTTTTTTTTTATAACAAATCATTCCTTTTTCGATTATACTATATCATTTCAGAGATATACCTACATATACATCGTACATAAATTTAAATTTCAAAATAATTTTCAATTAAAAAATTTTGAAATAACAAGAAGATATATTTCTTAAACTCAGAATATTTGTTAAATTTGGAGGAAAATATTTTTATCTCTTTAAACCGAAAAAGATTATATTCTTTGAAGCGACAGTTCCAAGTGTAATATCCGTTCGCAATGTTGCTTATCGTGAAAAGAATTAAAGAATGTGGTTGCTCGAGGTCAAGGAAGGAATGTAGTTAACGAGGCCAGGTTATGATTATAGACACTTAGGTGACAGTTTCTGAGCTATTAATAGATCGATCGCCGTGGACATTGGCCGAGCGGATTATTCAGTCGTGGACTCGTGATGTACCGATATCGCGAAATATCGAGAATTGTCTCGCGTGATTACCAAATCAAAGATATCGAATCGGATCTCTACCTTTTGTCTTTGTTGATCATTAGAAGAGACTATCGGTCATAGTTTTGCTCTCGTAGAACAATTATATTTCGCTTAGCCGTACACGCGGCGCGGCATTCGTATATCAGATTGACGATCGACTGCTAATGTCAATGCGCTCTGATGATGTATGAGTGACGTATGCTTAGCGCAACAATGATAGTTAAGGATAATGACGATTATCCATCATGAAGTGTGATGAGGATATTGATCTTTTGTATTCATAGCCGAATTTTTCAAAACGTTCGAGAAATAGTTCCTAGTAATGTAATAATGCAGTTATATATCATGGAGTTACGCAACACCGCTTTCACCGTTCCTTTCACTTATATATTTTTTTCAGTTCCTTGGATTCCTTAACTAACTTGAAATTAATCTTTTTGAAAAAAGTCGATTCTGGATTATAAACGATAAGCGAAATAGGAGAGAAAAAGGATCGTTAAAAACAAATAGAGAATCTTCTAATTAAATTGTACTTGTATCTCTAATTAATTTAAACCTTGCCTTGACGGAATATTTATTCTAAGTTTAAGTAAGCCGATATATTGTGACGTAGTGACATATGAATTAAACTCGCGACCTCGGTACACTGTTATTGTTGCAAACGGAATTAACTACATGACCGAGATGTGAAACTGTACAACGCGAGAAACAAATATAATTCCGTGGCAACGAACTTTCAAATAATTTTATCGTGTTTTTTTTATTAATTATATATATAAAAATATGCAATGTTAAAACTTTAGAAACTTTGGAAATATATGCAATATATTGTAACTTCTCACAATAAATTTTCCCCGAGGAAAAATTCAAACTGTAATTATTAAAGTATTCAAGACAAGTAATTTAAAGTAGAGAGAAAAATCTCCCACAATATTTTTCTGAAAGAAAAATTATATTAAATTTTGGTCAAGGATTCCGAACTAGTTGAAACAAACAACAGGATGGAAACACGAGGAGGCACTCTATATTATTAGTATAAGTGTTGAGCATCGCTCAAGTAGGTGCAATGCTCGAGAAAGTAAGTACATTGTTTACCGAAGAGCGATGCGTACAAGTTCTTCGCGTCCAAACACATGTAATAATTGAAGGTGGAATAAGGATTGAGCTGCGATGTAAAGTGCCTGAAGTAGTTCTGATCCGACGCCATTAAAAAGTTATTGTAGGGCTGATATAGCGATAAGTAGGGCAGAAAACTGTTTTCTTGCTGCATTCTGTAGAAGGCTGTCAGGTCCATGCTTGGTGGATTCCAATTTTGTGGATTCCGATCTTGCTGAGTCCAATGAAGATTAGTGGCGGTGGCGATAAAAACGTTACTTCTCAAGGGAAACATTTTTTTTTAATAATTCTATCTGATCCGCACTTGTAATTATTAATGATTAAGTTTGACACTTATATGAATATTTATCATATGAATTGTAACAATGATTTTTTGATATTGTCTTCTTCCGCTTTTCTTCTTGATTGTACTGTTTTATTCTCTTCACGAATTGTCTTTGATATCATAGAAATCGTTGTATTTGTCGTTTATCTATATATTCGCATAATTCATGAAAGAAGCATCTTTCATTTTTATATCAATACGTAAATAAGGATATATCTGGTAGATCACTCTAAGTTTGTGCAAAATGATTTTCTTCTATCAATTTATGTAAA